AGTGTATCATGAGAAAAAAACCCTTCACATATATTGGACTGTAAGTATCAATGCAACATAATTAGAAATGACAGCTGATTAATATACTCATACATTTTCTGAAAACTGTTTGATTTCAATGGAGTTGTCTTTAAGCCATAGACAAATCTATGTGATTTCAACTGCTGGGTAGCCCAGAGTCCTCAGCTCTGGGGGAGCCAGTCAGGATGCCTGTGTCTACTTTGTAGTACAGTTTGGAAATTTAAAGTTGTGAATGCTAATGTTATCATTCTTATGGAAATTTGCTGCTTTATTTTCACTCAGAATCATACAGAAATCAAGTTTGAACATTTCCTAGAGGAAAGAGCTTATCTTTCTCTGCATGACTATAATCAAAATCCTTCCGTTAACTTAATGACAAAACTTCTCTTTACTTCAGTGGAGATGGGATTCACACAGGTGCAAAGCACAAGGTTGTTATACAGTCATACACAACCAAATGCAATCAGAATTGTAAGCTGTGTAATCAGCTTAGAAGAAAAAATGATAAGCACAATAAGTGAACAACTCAAGTTACGCTGGTGAATTATCCTAGTGACTGTTATTTGTCAGAACATTTGAAAATGACAGATTGTTAAAAGCGTTCCAGTTGAATTACTTTAAGATTATCTCTCCTTCTTATTGCAAAAAGTTTATTTTAAAGTTAATTTCAAAGTTCTTGATTAGGTCTCCTGCTGTTTAATAACGGGAAAATGGCTAATAGTGTATTGTTTATCTTTAATTTACCCTATTACTATGATACTACAATCTTTATTTATTTATTTATTTTTTTCAAAAAAGGGGCATAATTACACATCTTAATATGATAATCATATAGTCCGTGTGAATATCTGGAAAAGCAACATTGCTCCATTCAGTGCATTGCCTTCTCTAATTCCCTTGGAAGTATGCATTGCTGTGCCTATTGCATTTTGATAACATATTCTCAACCCTCCAGTTAAGCCTTAGCATTTGTCTGTTCAATTTCCCTTTGAAATTAGGGATTTTGCAATTCTATGGGATATTCTGTCTATTGTTGATGCTACTTGTTCTTATCCAGTGGGTTTGAAAATTTGTGAATAAACATAATAAATACCAATTTTGTAGTTTTTGAAATGTGGATTCCTTCTTAATATTTGAAGTCTGCCTGAGCATTTCTTTCTATAATGAAATCTGTAAGAACTTGATTTTCCAAGTAGAAGCATTCTACAATTTTCTGTATTCAGTTTTAATGGATTATCTTTTGAAGTTTTTACTTGTTATTATTTTTTTACAAGAATCATCAACTTGCAACAATGCTGCAATTTATTTTCCATGTAAAAACAATTAAAAATTCTCAGTAAATAGGTATAGTTACATTTGATAACGATTTAGGATCCGTTATTAAACTGAGGAGAACTGCTGCTTCTTGAAACTCTGCTGGTGTATGGCACTTCCCAAGGACAGCTCTAACTCATATTGTGTGGAAGCAGATGAAACTGGTTCACACAGCTGGAATGATCCCTCCTAAAAATCACACAGAACTATGATGATTTTTATCACTGAGACTCAGATTTCAAGAGCTGCATGTGGTCACAGCTTTGTGACAGTAGCCACATGTGTACTTTAAGGGATTGAGATATATAAGCTTTCACTAGTACCCCATGCAAATTCCTCTGTTCTTCACCTTTAGCAGACACACTAAGATGCAACCACTAAGATGCTCAAGGTGTAACCAGAGCTCAGGTAGTCTGTGCTGTGGTTACCACAGGTTATACTGATTCATCAGTAGAAAAAAACTGCAATATATTGAACACTAAGAATTTAGGGATAAGGAAAAATAAACTTAGTTAAAGGTAAAATGATAAATCTCATAGAAGCCTACAGCACTGATTGCATTATTCATTTCATCTAATCTTTTTATGTCTTCATTTTAAAAGAGCATAAAATAGCAAGAACTTGTGCACTGCATAACATAAAGGGTTTATGCAATCTGAGGACTGCCTTAGATCTTACGCGCTCTTTCCCGAACAGTAATTGTTTTCTTTATCATCTCTTATTTTATCAGCCATCAAGAAGGAGAAATATTTGAACTGTGGCACACATATAAGTTACCTTAGAAGAAGAATCATTAGATCTAAAGGAGGTGAAAACAGAAGCACTGGAAATAATATAGCTTCTCACATTTATGAACACAAATGTTCTTTCTTTTCTTTATTTCATTTCCAATCTGCTCTGCCGATTTAATGGCTCTCTTAATCTTTGAAAAATGCAGTGTATGAAGAGAGTATTCAACCTTTAAAGACTAAAAAAATGTTTACCTACTACCTCATGCAAAGGGATCTCCATTTCCTGACAAAACATTGCTATGCATAGCAGAAAAATAGGGAGAAAAATAATAGAGAAGACATGCATTTCTGATGGCACTCCCATGAGAAAATCACATTTCAGAGAGGTTAGTTCGATTTGTTGTTTCACCAACAGTTTTTGAATTCCAACTCAGGCAGAGGAGGGCCCCCTGCAAGCTCCTAGCTAGGACATCACTGTGAGTGAGAAGAACCTTCAGAAGCCCTCTGTTTCTTAGGTGACCTCTTACTCTTTGTCCATGGACACCTACAGTAGCTTAGAGCACACTGGGCATTTATTTTGGTTGCACCAGATGACAACAGTCATCAGAAAACCCTAACAAGTCCAAGCCTAGTTCAAAGACCGTGGGAGTCATGACCTCTTCGCTTTTGCTCAACCAGCAGTGCAAACTAGATACAAAGGAGGGCCTGCCTTGGAAGGTATGGATTTCATCACCTGTCAGCAAGCTTGCAGCACCAGAACAAGTAGGTGGAAATAGCATCAGTTGCCACTGAATAATTGCCTGCTGAAAAAGCACCATGACACAACTGTCCTGTGACAAGGTTGCTGAAGCGGAATAGTGTAAATAAGGTGTGTATATGGATAACGAGAGATGGACCAGGTGAGAGTTTAAGGGTCTCTCTGCACAGCAAAAGGCATATGTGGCTCTGGAAAACACATCAAAGAAAAGATCCACTGATACTTGTTCTTCCATATCTAACCAAGGCTACTTGTGAGAACTGGCTAAAATGCTGCTGTTTAGCTGCTTGGAGACATGAAATGCTGAATCATGAAACCTGCTCTTGAGTGAACCATCACAGAGTGGTCTAAGGCCTGTGTATTAAAAGCATGACCCAAAGCTGCGAATCCTGTACATGAGGCTGGGCTGAGAGAATAGATCATTCTACTTCAAAGTAAACCGACAAACAGGAAAAAAAGAATGAAATACAGGCGGCTCAAAACCTATGCTGGTTATTATTAGACATAGTATATTGACAATTTGTAAGTACTTTTGGGTAAAAGTGCTTAAGTATACTTCATCCTAATGTGCTCCGTGTTTTCTACTTTAATGCCTAAATCGATAGCTAATTATAATTTGAAAAGAAAAAGATGCTGCAGTGGAGATGATCTACCTGCTCTGTTCTTAAATTGTAATGTGATTGGTTGGCTTTACAGTGTTTTCATGTGTTGTCTGTACCAATTCCAGAGTCCCCATAAGAATCAGGAAGTAAACTTTTCGAAAATTGCTTCATTTCCACGTGAAATTGGCACAGAAACTCTTTGTGTCTGATGGAAGAGGGATGGTTTTGCTGTCTGCCTACTTGCTGATACTTATTTGTCCATGATTTAAAATAGGGTCTGTTCTCAGGTCTTACAACCAAATGCAAATCAAGGAAACACAGGACCATACTCATTTAGGCAATGGTTATTAAAGCAATGTATCCTTGGACAATCTGAGAGTACAATTGCCATCACAAATAAACTCTGTGTCCTTCTCTAGGCCTATCACACAAACTCGCATGCCCACACAAATAAACAGATATGAGAGAGGTTTTCTCCCCCACTCTGCAAACCTGTTAAGAAATGGACAATTGGATATGTAAAAAAATCTCTTCTTTGATTTTTGTGCTCACCAGTCATTAAAGGGTTTCTTTTCAGAGCAGCACAAAAGAAGAAGAGCTGGTTGACCAAACATTTTTTTTTTCTTACAAAGAAGTGTCAACCCTGAGCTTGTAATTAAGAAGTTAAAATCTGTGATTTATATATATATTTATATATATAAAAATAGATGATCATACTAAGACTAAAAAAGTGAAAGAAATCTCCATGTCAGTACTACATATTTGTTGGTTTTGATTTTTTGTAGAAGAAATCCTTGTGATACTGAAAATAAGAGATATGAAAGACATAGTAAATGTGAAACACAGTATTGATCCAGTCACTGTTGTTAGTCCATTACAGAATTGCCATCCTAAGATGGATAATGAACATAGTAGCAGAAAATTCTAATTGACATCAGAATAGTGACAAAGAGAAAGAGATTATATCACAAGAGATTTTTTTCTATCTGAACCCTTGAGGGGAGATTTGTCAAGAGAGTTGTTTAGCATCACCATCCTTGTTGATCGGAAGCTAAGTGGAATTCTGGGCCAATTATATAACGCGGATAAACACTAAAAGAAGCTAGGCGAGATCGTGCTGCTACTCTTCTTTTTTTTTTTTCTTTTTCTTTTTAACTTGGGATTAAGATTTAAATTCTAAACAACTGCAACATGATATTCTGAAGCTAGTGGAGTTACTAAAATACTAGAAGATAAAATTATTTTTTTCAGCTTTTTACCGTCATACCAATTTGACGTAGTTGGCAGATGGAGTGCAAGACATTCACCATTGAGACATACTCTGTGTTGGAAAAAAATCCAGACTTTCTTACAATGGCAACGATCATTCTGATGACCTAAATCATTGTATAGAAGTTCCTAAGGAAACTTGGCTGCCAGTGAAGAATGGTTGCATTTTTTTTGTTCTTTTTTTTTTGTCTTTTTGTTTATTTTCTGTTGAAACGCAGCAGCCTTGGGTCAGGCTGGATTCATTAAGAAAACTTCTTCTGTTTTCTTTCTCCCTCTTTTTTTTGTTAAGAAAAACATACACTGTAAGATCCTTTTATTTTGCAGCATAAAAGGAAATGAAGCTCAGAAAGTCTCCTGTAATAAAGATTTGAGAAAGAATTATCTCAAGAGTGGATATTGTCTTCAGAGATATCTGAAAAAAGCAGGAAGCAGTTCAGTCTGGCACCTGGTACTCTTTGGGAAAAAAAAAAGGGAAGCAGGTTGCAGTACTGCTCTCTTCTCATAGAAAACTGTAAGTATTTGTGGCATGGTCCATTGTCCAAGAGTATAAGAAAAGAATAAAGTTGGCTGTTTTTGTAGCTAAAATACAGTTTCTCCAACCAGATTTAGGATTATCTCCACTGTCTCTGTAGTACGAGGATGACGAAGATGATAAACAATGTAGGTAGCGATTGGCTACGCTGCGTGGCTGAGGCCTCCACCTCCCTCCTGTCCGAGTCAACAAGTGGAGCTTCGGTTGTGATGAAATCAAACTCAGTGGGACAGATGTCATCCGTACAGCCACTTCCACTTCCTGAGCCGCTGGTTTCATCACCTGGCATAAGGAAGGGAGAATAACAGCATGAGGACCCCATGTTAGAACGTTGCACTCTTCCCTCAATTCCTGTCCTTAGGAAGGAACCAACACCAGGTGTCCCAGAGAGACATTTTGAAAACTGGAAAGTGTTTATTCTGCCAACATTCATTTTATTCACTTTATAAATCATCCAAATGAAAGACATTGTGATTTAGTTATACTGGAAAAAGGGTGGATTTCTGTCACTATGTAAATTACTGTATGTCTTGATGCCTTAGGTTTGCTGATAAGCAAGAGATTCAAAAGAAACAAATATAATTGGAATGTCATGAGATAAAAAAAGATGTTTTTTATGCTACCCAATAACATACAGCACAAAGACCAAGAAAAGTCTTCCTAATAAAACTGATAGTTAAGTTTACAAATTTATTTCAGACATTTCAGACATTAAACCTGGTTAATGAGAGCTTACTTGTGTCCTGGAAATTGACATCATTCCCATTATATGCGTTCTTTAGTTTGTTAGTCATGACACGTAAGGCCATGATTTGTTGTCGAATGAAGGTATCTGGCCTTGTGATGTCCACATCTACTTCTGGATTGTTGATCTGGTTAGTCAAGCCATCGTTCATAATCTCAGGCAAGTATCTAGATAGCAGAATGATTGATTAGTTGAAAAAGCAATGTATAAAAAGAGTGTCCGTACCGTAAACTCTGTACTAAGCAATTTGACAGCAATAACAATTACACAGTTCTTAAACAGCTCCAGGGAAGACATTTTTAAAATATGTTTTTAATTTTGCAGACTCTAATGACTCTTTTTAGTAGCCTGGCTGCAGGGTAACCAGAAAGAATATGAACTACCCAACTCTCCACATCCTACCCAGCAAGTGAACTGACTTTTGTAACCCAAGGATGGTTACATTACCTAACAGTAAGTCTCTGCGTGTTAGATCCTCTTCTGATATAACCAGTTGCACACTAAATTATTAAGGAAAATTTTTCTTCTGTTGTTACCTCTTTGTACTTAGAAATTATGCACTCTGCTACCTATTGGTTTTGAGATAATTCAGAAGACCTTATGGCTCCCCCCTTTCTTAAAGGGGTTACCTAATTCATTTTCTTCTCCAGTTCTTTTTTGCATCTCTTTTTTTTTTGACTGCTGTAAACAACCTCTCCAACCTGACAGATATCCAGGACAATAAACAGGGTCATGAGTTTACAAAACTCCAGCATTATCTTTCATTTGTCCCTTATTCCTTATTTGTCCTCATTCCTAAATACAAGGGGGCTAAGCTTGCATCTCATATATGCAGTGTGCATAACATATTTAAGATATGATATTTCCCATCCATCTGCACATCTGAAATTCTTATTCAGGCTGTTGACTTATCATTTCTTGATTACTGCAGCACTCTCCTCTGACCTTGGCAAATGCAGTCTTATGCTGCTCACAGTCATCCAGAGTGCTTTTGCAGATACAACTCTATTACAAAAATCAGCCCATGTCTCTGATCAACCTATGGTGACAGTCTTCATCTTTTGTTAAATATGCAGCTTTGCCCCCTGATGCTGCCTGTGCTCAGGCAGCTCTCCTTATAAGCATCTGCATAGTTACCTCTTTTCCTGCTTTGAATCTCTTAAAAATTATCTGTGCTTTCTACAGCTGTGAGGCTGATGAAGTGTTGATATTATTTCTCTGTGCTGGTGTGGTAATCCTGAGAAAACATTGAATCCTTGTACTCTCTTGTCTATCTTAATTCATCTGCTTTCTTTGTCTCATTTACATTGCAAGGGATTTGGGGCTATCCCATGATCATGTTCATTATCAGGGTGTGATCGATTTGGCAACTAGTTTACAAGCCACGCTACCTTACTGGTGGGAAACTTTCATGATGTCTGGTGCCAAATGCAGTTTTAGGAGTAGTAAACTGCACTCTCGCTGGTGCCAACCCAAACCTCTGTCAATATTTAAATTCAACTTGGGTGCCAGTGTTTTGTTGCTATTTGTCTGGAAGTAAATATATTCCTTAAAAATAAGTGTGAAAGTAAGAGAGAAGAAAGCTTTTTATTTTTATTTATTTTTTTTTCCCTGATGAAACCATGGTTAAGGGACAATAAGTTTTGTATTGCTCCTGGAGGTTCACAAGATGATGAGTGCTTTGCTGAGCCAGGGAAGGGTTTAGTCACACCATAATAGGTACTTGCTTTGCAAGATGAGACTCATTTGTCATCAATGGCCTTTGAAAGTTTACAAGAGAATAATCTCAGGGGAGTGGAAACATCCAAGAATGAAACAAGGCTGCCAAAAATACCCAGCCTCAGATTGCATTTCCTGATGTTCTGCTAGCAGCAGAAGAAGCAATAACAATGCTGTAGGGACCCCATCTAGACTCCTGTGGTACACTCTTAACTTAGGTGAGGATACAGAGCTACCTCCCACAGCACTGAGAACTGCAGAGCACAGTGTTATGAATCACCGCAGATAGAAGTTGGAAATAATTCTGCAGAGCTGCCTGGAGGCAGAAGGATGGAGACCTTGGCATGCAGGGAAGCTCAGGGCTACAAGGGAATGGCACCTCCATCTGTCATAGGTCTCTACAAATGAAATGGCTACTGTAGATAAATTGCTCAGCTTGGAAGTAAATCACTGATTTCAAGGTGCGGTTGATTAAAAAAAAAAAAAAAAAAAGAAAGGATGTAAGAATTGCTCTACTGACTCAGAAGGAGTGTCCATCTTGCCCAGTATCTTGTCCATAGCAATGGCCACAGCTATTAGTAGCTAAAAGTTATTTAAAATCTCTGACTGTCCATGTGGACTGCTTTCCTTCTTTCTCTGGGAAGAGGTAGCGGTTCTTCATTGCAAACAATCTATGAGAAGCTATTGCTATTTCTGAACTGCAATGCACAGGCTTTCTTTGATTTATGTTTGATTGCATATTGTTTTATTGTCAACAATAAAAGAATGTACTGACTTAGTGAGCTTTTAATATGGAGAGAATATGAGTTATTTTGGGCACTTAATGCAGTTAGGGAGTGTTCTGGTGTGTGCTTTTTATGGAGGCTCAAGTTCTTCACTGTGATCAATGTGGGTCTGATGGCCACGTAGAGACTATTTAACTTTAAATGGAATAGTCCACTGAGTTGTAGAGATTCAGTTAGGGGTCATTTGATCGCTTCAGGATGTGGTGATACCCAAAGCACTCCCAGCATGGAAGATCTTACTTTGTTAGTTAGTTCTGATATAATTGCTTTTAAACGAAAAAGTTCAATAAATTTTTCACAAAGGCAGCTTTTGGGCAATTTATACAGTGCTGAGAAGACAGAATCAGCAACTTCATTACAATAAATCTGTAAGAGAAAATTTTATTCCAAATTGAGGAAATATAAGGTGTGGTGAAACGATTGGTTACAGCAAAAGTAGGATTTGACTGTTCCATGCATAATTATCAAACCAGGCATCTAAGGCTGCGGTTTACTAAGGGTTTACTGCTTAAATCTCTTTTTAAGTTAGAGGATGTTAACACTTACCACCTTTATCAGTTTATCAAGCTTTAAGCAAATTTCTCAAATTGTAGGCATTTTAATACCAGATTAGTGACTCAAAGAACTTTTTGGATTAAGCAGATGCGCCGGTGTGATCCACCATGAATATTTAGGAAATAATTTAGATCCATCTTTATTTCAGGTGTTAACAAGCCCCTAGGTGTACTCTTCAGGTGACAAGGAGAGCAATTCATATTTCAGGAGAATGGTCCAGTGCACTTCATCTAGGCATATAAGCTGGCCAAACAGGATCAAATAACACATACCTTATGAGCACCTAAATGTTAAGCACCTAACTGAGCACTTTGGCATTTACAGCAGCTGGCTGAAGGATTCAGAGCTAAGGTGGGATTCAGCTTTAGGTTTTTGTTGATGTCAAAACCTGTATGTCTAAGTACAGGTGACTGCTGACTCCTGCTCTTGTGTCAAGATCTTGTCAATACTAGTCCATGACAAATCTTGTCAGTGGAAGATATATAGCTGTTTGACTAACACCTGCCTTTGGCTGCATGATTAGTTTATTAGTTCCTTCTACTGGGATTTAGTTACACAAACATAAGCATCTGGTACTGTTTGAGAAGTTTTCAGTTCATCCTAGACTCTAGTTACCAGCCCAGAAAAGTGTGGATTCCCCATAGGTCCTGCCTTATATCTACAAGCTGAGTGCAAAGGTCTTGGATGCCTAGGGAATCTGAAGCAATATTAGATGCAATTATTCTTTAGAGAGCTGAACTGAGTCTTCTGTTCCACTGTAACCACAGTGGGATATGCTGCTTGGGGTTCAAACCCTGCCACTCCAGTAGGGTTTGAACATCTGTAGGTCTGGTGATATATTTGCCAGCTCCATGAGGAGTATTTAGAGCATGGAGAGTCTTGAGTATTTAGAGCATCTCAGATAAGTAGTAGGTATATGTGTTTGGGCAATTGAAATCACTGACTATGCTGACTGGATACTGGAGCTCTTCTCAGACACCATAACACTAGTGATTTTGGAGACGGTCTAGCAGGTTTTGCCCAACCTCTGGTCCAGAAGGAAGGCAGTGTCATCCATCATGCCTGTCTCAGATATCCCAGGGAGTTTCAAGTAGCACAACTGCCTCATTGCCTACTAGCCTACCTCCAGGCACCTATATCTAAAGTCCTGAATTTACGTGTCTAAATTGAAAGCTGAATTCTCCTTTATTACTGAGATTGTTCACATCCTCCATCAGGAGAAGAAAAAAACAAGCAGAAAAGTCTATATTGAATAAAAATATTTTTGAATTGCTTTCCTTTCTTTCAAAGGACTGCTATAGATAAGGGAGCAAGCAGCCCAAGGCGCTTCTTGAGCGACAGCCTCCATGCAGCAGCTGAGCACATGTTCTGACAAAAGCATTTTGATGTGTGCTGGGATAGGGTTGAGGCACACACAACTGGAAGCCACGTCTCGGGACCACTTTCTGACAGCAGATTTGTTGCTGGCTGGGCAAAATAGTTGAACACAGCTGCTTTTGCTGCAGCTCTGCAAGTGGAGGCACCCCTGTGAATTTTAAGCTTTGTTGCTGCTGTTTCTGTGCTTGTTAGAGAGTTCTTTGTATGCCTGGCCATTGCAAGGACTGTATGCCTATTATAACTGAAAAAACGAGCAGCCCTATCCTGAATCATGTCTGTTCTTTGCATCCCCCCAGTAAAAAAAAAAAAAAATCTATCTTGACCCTCTTAGCACAGAGAAGCTGGACATTGTCGTCTTTGTTTTCTCCTGTTTGATCTTTGCTCTGTTATGTCAGGAGTTTAGTGTAATTTGCATTGTTTTCTAAAATATTAATGTTTTCTGTTCCTCTTCGCCTTCGCCTTCTCACAGTTCTTCCTTGTCCTAGCAGATACAGCAAAAATGTGTTTCTTTTGGCACACCAGGGCCCCTCACACTATACTTATTTATTTTTCAAAAAGCTAATGTTCTAGGATGTCTGCTTCCTTTTCGACTCCAAAAATGACTGATGAATCTTTCAGGTCATTTATATAAAAGTATAAAAACAGTATCTTCTACTTTTTTTTTAATGACATCTGACTTAAAGACCAGCATTATTTTGCCAGCAGCTGCATACAGGATGACAGGAGCATCC